TGTCCGCAAATTTTACGAAAACGGATACGTGTGGACGGTGAAAACGATTCGAATACGCTGCGTGTGGACGCAAACGTTTTCGTATCCGCAAAAAAATAATTTGCGGATACAAAAATTTCCGGATACGTGTGGACGGGGCCTAATAGAGCGGGGAAAAACAGTGTCTGTAATATGATGTTTAAGTGGACTATCTTGAACTGTTTATGACGATCGTGCAGGGTATAAAAGCGACAGTACATTCACAATTATACCATCTTGTCTGTTATTTTGCCTGCTATTTAAATGCTCTGGTTATTACGTAGTTCGTGTTTTTAAAGGGTTTTGTTTTCAAAGGGTTTAAGCAAGTACAAGTGATCCATTGTCTAGCGGGTTCCAGAGGTAAAATAAACTCAAGGGCTGCATAAATTTTGTCTATTGTGCATGAAACAAAAAAGAGATAAAACAAAGGGGACAGGAAGAAACCTATTTAGGAAGCTTGTGAGGAGCTTTTTCAGTCAGGAGCATTTAAGCCGTCATTCCGGATGTAATAGAAGAGCCATGAACAATAATCTGGGCGATTAAGGAAAATTTCTTTCACAATATCTTTTGAAGTTAAAACATTTCTAAGCTTTTTTTAAACGGCCCTTGACTAAATGACACTTCTTCTTGACGGTCCTTTTCCGCCGTTTTGTGTCTTTTCCCTGCTCATCAAAGATCGGGCACGCAAAGTTTAATGGGATTGATTCTTTTTTTGATATGCATTCTGATTGGCTCTAATCACTTTCCCTGAGATCACATGGTTATACGAAGCTTTGCAATCCTCAAATAAACTAGATGTGTTTTCGAAAGTGCGATTATTGAGTCCTATAATACGAATTGACTGAGCACAAATCACTTTATCTCATTTCGGCCATGGACCAGCCAATAACTTCGTGCTTTATTTCTGCCACGAACTATTCGAAGAGTATCACCAACGAGGATGCGAAAAACATGACTTTCCTTGAAGTCATCAACTCTGTGTTAGCTCTACCAACAGCTGCTGCTAATGCTCTGGTTATCGTGGCCATTCTGACGACGTCTTCTTTACGAACACCGTCGTATCTTTTACTTTCAAGTCTCGCCATCAGTGATCTTACAGTGGGACTTTTTGGGCAACCAGGTTTTACCTTCATCATATTTTCGTTTAGAAATGGAAATGCCAAAGCTTACTGTTATGCTCGATGGATTTCAACTTTTTTCTTAGTCTTGTTTGGCAATGCAACACTTTTGACAGTGGCAGCAATCAGTGTGGACAGATACTTGGCCATACGACTCAAGACGCGGTACAGATCTGTTGTCACAGTACGAAGAGTGAGGTTGATCTTAATGTTTATTTTGTTATACTCAATTTTTGCAGTTTGCCATCCGTTTCTTCTGTCTTTGACTATGAGCAACGTTTTGGCGGCTTCTGTAGTCATAATCATGTCATTTATTATCCTGTTTTGCTACACGATGTCGTTCAGAGCCCTGAAGATCCACTGTGATCAGATCCAACCACAGGGTAACGAACGGCCCAACAGTACAACACAGTCCAATGCCATCGATGTTCTCAAGTACAGAAAGCTGTTGAAGACAATGCTCTTGATAATGATGCTTATTATTGTTTGCTATCTGCCTCTCTTTGGTGTGTTTATTATCTTTAGCAAACCCAATCCAAACAGAGTCGTTGCTTGGTATCTTCTTAGCATCACTACCCTTAACTCGCTGTTGAATCCGGTTATCTACATGACAAGTATGAAAGATCTGAGAAGAGTTTGTATTCGGATGCTTAGAAAAATATTCAGATTTGATATGTAGTAATAGAAAGAGGAATGATAATAATAATAATAATGATAATAATAATAATAATATGATAATAATAATAATA